TTGCATTCTTGCCTGCTGGTATATCTGGTTCAAAACCCCTAAATGACCCTCTTGAGATAATCCAAGCTCCAATCCTGGCAGTTGCTGGTTACTTCCACCAAGAATTGAAGTAAAACTCATAGGATTCATATTTGTAGCTGCAGGCAGATCAAATCCTGGAAACCCAATTTTCTGTAAGTAATAGTTTGAACTTTCACTGCCTAAACTGGCGCTTGATGGAGCAGATGAGGACTGAAACCCAAAACTAGTGATAACAGGGGCAGGGGCAGGCCATATTCCTACTGTAGCCAAATGGGGTCTTCCAAAATCCCCACAGATCATTGGCCAATTGGTCCTACTATTACTACTTCTACTGCTACCTGACCCCGCGATATTCGCCCCCGATTCAATCATTAAACCAGCTGATACAGAGATCCCCTGTTGAGAAACAGATGCTGCTGCAGCTAAAGCCGATGCAGGAATTGTCCCTGTGCCAGTAGCAGCAAAAATCGAAGGCTCGGCTTGCTGCAGCAGCCACTGAATTGTCTCACCATCAGATTTATGACCCAATTCACGCGTAAGTTGAAAGATTCTTGCTGCACATAGAGCAGGCATACGTATCCTCCTCCCTCTACCTTCAACTTTGGTATGCCTATCTTTTCTTTTAGGAGCAGCCACCTGCTGCTGTTTCTTGGTTTCATCATTTTTCAAAATCTGCAAGTCTTTTATCTGATCAGGAGTAGGCTTAATATTTTTGTTGTTAGGCTGCTTGGGATCCATGAATGGAACTAGATGGGTCTACCTTGCAGGTTATAGTAATAATTAAATTAAATTACTCCTTAGAAAGAAAAAACAAGGAGGCTCTTTGTTTACTAGTAATAGGAAAAAGAAGATAAGTTTTGATTTTTTCTTTCACTTGTGTGTCCTGTTTGAGAGAAGAAAGTGACCTCAAAGAAGAGACAAAAAACAAAAGAAGAAAAGAAAAGGAGAGGAAAGTTCTAACAATGTTGTCATTTCAGGAGGTTTCACTTTCTGTCACTCACAAGAATTTGAAAATGTGAAAAGATTGAAAATTTCCTCTCAGTTCAGGAGCAATAGTGGCTAAACCATTATGCTGATGTGATGCATTAATTTTGAAGGTGTTTCAATGGACACAAAAAGATAAATTGAGATGTCTACGTATACATACTCAAAATTAGTGTGGCTAAACCATTATGGCACAGGCTTGTACCTTATAAATAATACTCCTTCCGTCTCTTTTTATTTGTTAAATTTTGACTTGACACACCTATTAAAAAATAATGGTTAATGCAGTAAATTTACCATTTTAACACTATTAATTGATGAGGTCTCAAATACATTTACTCACTAAATTTTTCAAAGAAATTAACTCAATGTTATTAATTGAGGGTATAATAGAAAAAAAACTTATCCTTTCTTAATTTGTCAAAAATGACAAGTAAAAAGAAAAATCAAATTATTTTTTTTTTGACAAATGAATAGGAAAAAGGGAATAATAGTAATAATAGCTTGCAGTACTCTTTCCAGTTTCAACTGTTTAGCATTTTGATTCAATAGGGTCCTGAGAAAATAGAAAAAGAAAGAAGATGGGGAACCAAATGGTCAAATTTCACGGGAAAGGTGGAAACTTAATTTGGGCTTTTTTGTGTTGGTAGGTAAATACAATGTGAATATTTTCTCAGTTTCAATTTATTTGTATTATTTTCATTTTTAATCCATTTGAAAAAAGACGTCTCCTCTGTATTTAAGCAACTTTTTAATTTTCTACATATCACAAGATTAAATGACATTTTGATATATTTAGCAAAATGTATAATTTAAGATCACAAAATTTAAATTTTTCTTTTAACTCCATCCAAATCAAAACAAGACAAACAAATTAAAACGCATTGAATAATATATATTTTATGGTGTAATTTTTCTACTTTAATAATTGAAGTCTTAACGCGCATGACAATTGACATTCTAGTATACTAATAATAGGATGTGATGTCCACATATGAGATAGCACTACATGTGTAGGGTGGAGATGCATGCAGACGCTTGGGTTTATATATATATATGTGGTTGCTTCTAATCCACTCCATGTTACCACGGAGAATACATCGACAATCTTTTAAATTTCATTAGAATATATGGACAATCTCTTAAATTTGAAAAAATTATCTATCTACACACCATTATTTACCATATTTTTTATTATTATTCCCTACCATTTCAAAATGATACAAAAATCCCTCTTTTTCCTACAAAAACTCAAACGTCCGGATACATTACTCTCCATTCCAAACCCACGTTTCCTCACTCTCTCCTTATTTCCACTCTCATAATTTAATCAGTTATCTCCTTCATCCTAATTTCAAAAGATTTCTCTCTCCAGTCAATCAATTTCAATTTTGTCAATAGGTAGTTATCGTCTTCTCCACTTTGTTGTTCTTCATTTTTTTAATCAATTTTCTGGATGTTCCTTTGTTTAGTATTGAGATTACCTAATTAAATACATCTAGCACTGATCGAATTTAGGATTCTGATGATCCTGAAAACAGATCTAAAAGCTTGAACGATCCATTTACAATGATGAATCAAAGTTTCGAGAAGGCAAAGTCGAATAATATACCTTCATCGTCTAAAGTGGATATGGAAAAATCACCCAAGAAAAGGGTAGAAAAATTGCTCCTGCAATTTCTCGACCTACATTACCCAGGGTATTTTTATTTCCTAACTGATACTTTTTTTATATCCCCTGTTGTTAGTTGCTTCAAAAAATTTGATGTACTATTGTTAAAGTGATATTTTATTTTTTTTATTACAAGGGAAACCCGCAGCCGCTACCCTTTGGGTGCACACAGGGTAAAACCCCCGCTCCTATGCAATAGCTCGTAAACCACATAGGAGAGGTAAACCGCACTAGGCAAGCCTGGTGCGACGAGCTCGACCCAGAAAGCAAACCCTTTGCTTTCGCTGGCAAGGGGTTTCGAACTTGAGACCTCCAACATGGAAGTCCCAAGCTCAAACCACTGGGCTACCCCGAACATGGAAGTGATATTATCATATTGCTATGTATCTTGATTTAAATGTACTAGGTTGATACATAAAATTTGAATTTTGTTCTCTATTATAAATGTATCAGATTATAAAGTTCAAATTGTATGATGGGCGGTAATATGCAGAATATTGTATCGCATTCTAACGTGGTTTAAATCTGATACATAAATATCACATAATGAGTATATAATGTTATATTTAGTATCAGAAACAAAATTTGACAGATTTTTTACTTTATCAAGTTTTAATGAGTATCAGATACACTTTTGTCATTATTGTATTAGTAAGATACCTTGTAGTTGCAGTTATGTATCACATACTTAAATTTTTTTGTTCACATTTTAGTTCCAATCAGTTTAGCATGTAGATTTTTTTGGAATTGTAGTCTATGAAATACATCATTAAACAGATTTCAAAGCACTCACTAAGGTTTAGTTCTACGTACAATATGAATTTTATCGAAGTGTTTGAGTTGTCCACGGGGGATGAATGTATCGAATTATTCAAGAATACTATTTTTGGGTCATACCTCAATATCCCAAAATGTAACTACCAGGATGTCGTTAAATGGCAATCCCTTACTTCATTTTCTCTCAACTCAATGATACACATATATCGATCGAGGATTTTTTAATGATCAAAGATGGGAGGTATCAACAGTTTCCTTGGGGACAACTTACTTTCTCCAAGTTGATGAAATCACTTTGGCAGGAGTTCACCTCTGAAAAACAAATGTATCGGTTATCCGACATGCCATATGCTCTTAATGTTTGGATATATGAATTTGCTTTTGTGATAAATGAAGAATTGTTGTTAAAGAAGGAAATGATAGCATTAATGACAATCTCTTCATTTACTACAAAAGCACATTCATATATCCAAACATTAAGAGCATATGACATGCCGGATAACCGATACATTAGTTTTTCAGAGGTGAACTCCTGCCTAAGTGATTTCATCAACTTTGAGAAAGCAAGTTGTCCCCAAGGAAACTGTTGATACCTCCTATCTTCGACCATTAAGAAATCGCCGAGTTGAGAGAAAATAAATGTATGAATGAAATAAAAGATTGTCATTTGAACGACATCCTAGATGTTGTCCCAAATACCCATTATAAAATGTTGAACCAACCATCTCTTGTTTACACTATTCTTTTCCCAGGTCAAGTACCTTTGAACTAGCCTACTCGTTATGGAATCTGGATATCTAAAATCTCCAATGTTTCATGTGCATTTCAAAGCAGTTATGATTGCAAATTTCTTGATACTAAAATGCAAAACATTTCTATTGGCATGACGAATATGAAGTCCATGTTGTCCTACTCCACCTCCAAAAGCAACAAACACTTTGTGATCTATCCTTGGTAGTTACATTTGGGATATTGAGGTATGACCCAAAAAAAGTATTATTGAATTATTTGATACTTTCATCTCCTGTGGGCAATTCAAACTCTTCGATAAAATTCATATTGTACGTAGAACCGAACCTTAGCGAGTGCTTTGAAATCTGTTTAATGACGTATTTCAAAGACTGCAATTCTAAAATAACGTTCATCAACTAAAAAATCTACATAATACATGCTGAACTAGTGGAAAACTGATTGAAACTAAAATGTGAACAAAAAAATTGAAGTATGTGATACATAATTGCAACTACAAGGTATCTCACTATTTAACTAATACATACTGATAAAAGTTTATCTGATACTCATTAAAACTAGATAAAGTAAAAAAATTGTCAAAATTTTGTATCTGGTACTAAATATAACATCATATACTCATTATATGATATTTTTGTATCAGGTTTGAATCATGTTAGAATGCGATACAATATTATGCATATAACAACTAATCATATAATTTGAACTTTATAATCTTATACATTCATAACACAAATTAAAATAGAGAACGAAACTAGGGTTTTATGTATCAACCTAATACATTTAAATCAAGACACATAGTAATATGATATCACTTTAACAACAATGTATCAAATTTTTTGAAGCAACTAACAATGGGGGATATCAAAAATAAAAAAAAAGTATCAGTTAGGAAACAGATACCCTGGGTAATGTAGGTCGAGAAATTACAGGAGCAACTTTTCTACCCCTTTTCTTGGGTGTTTTTTCCACATCCACTTTAGACAATGAAGGTACATCCTTCTTCGACTTTGCTTTCTCGGAATTTTGATTCGTCGTTGTAAATGAATCGTGCAAGCTTTTAGATTTGTTTTCAGCCCATTTATGATCATCATAATCATAAATTCAATCAGTGTTAGATGTATTTAATTGGGTAATCCCACTACTAAACGAAGGATCATCCATATGTATCAAAAAATTGATGAAAAATAAAAATAAAAAAAAACGAACAACAAAGTGGAGAGGACAATTACCTATTGACAGATTTGAAATTGATTAACTAGAGAGAGAAATCTTTTGAAATTCAAATTTTAGGATGAGGGAGATAACTAATTATATTATGGGAGTGAAAATAGGGAAAGATTGAAGGAGTGAAAATAGGAGTGGGGAAACGTGGGTTTGGAATGAAGAGTAATGTATCCGGACGTTTGGGTTTTTGGAGGAAAAAGAGGGATTTTTGTATTATTTTAAAATGGCAAGGAATAATAGAAAATATAGTAAATAATGGTGTGTAGATAGGTAATTTTCCCATAAATAAATCTCAGGATTAGTTAATACTACAAACTAAAACATAAATAAGGTTAATCCCAAATTTTATCCTGAAATTAATATCTTTATCCTACCTACCAAACTCTTTCCATGATCTAAACATTAAGATGACATTTCATATTAGCTGTAACAAAGACGATTGATGCACATTTTACATAAAGTATAAAAGCATTACACAAGTTCTTCTGCTTCTTGAAGACAGTGTCAGGTCCTAAAAATATTTCAGATAAGAGTTCATCCTCAAGGATTGACATATGAGAACAATCCAAAAAAATATGTACAAATAGAATTATTTCCTGGGAAGCTTCTAACTTCAAAGCAAATGATGAAGTGGATACAACAACAACATACCTAGTAAAATCCCACAAGTGGGGTCTTGAGAGGGTGGGGTGTATGCAACCTTACCCTACCTGTAGAGGACTTGAGGTAGAAAGACTATTTTCGATAGACCTTGGCTCAAGTAAAACATATCAAAACAGGTATGAAAAGAAAATACTGGAGAAAAGACCAGTAGTATATGCAACTAAAATGTAGTATTTATTATGTCAAGTGTGAGCAAAAAGTAATACAGAAGAATAAAGGAGTACCTCCTCCTTCTATGTACTGCTGCGCAATAGAAATGGGCTGTATCCTCACACAAAGTTTGATCAATTATTGCAACACTAAGAATTTCTTAGTCGAAAAAGTATTGTCATGCTAAAATTCTCTCAGTGAGAGTGCTGAATTCTCACATGATGGCGAGGATACAGTATTTAAATTTGTTTCCAAAGTGACAAGGGCCTAAATATCATGCCAAATCAGTTAATGGATCCATTAATCAGTAGAACCAAACACAATTTGCTTTTAGTGAAGCAATAGAAGAGTTCCTCTCAAACAGATGCATTTCCACCCTGATTGCCTTTAGTTTTTGAAGTAGATAATAAAACCTATTATGGAATCTTAAAAAGTTCTACGGCAGAGAGATTCAACATTTTTTGTATATTCATCAAAGTAAAAGAAAGTAAAGCAACCCATGACACTCTTATTTAGATTGCCAGAGCATGTTGTTTAATCCAACCATGTTGTTTCATTCTTTCAAAACAAAATAATAGACAAAAGAGTACCTCTTCCAACGGCCAATATAAACATCCCGGTGGAAACCTGAAGGAAAGCAAAAGCAAAAGCATGCTAGTGACAAGGGAGGATATAAAACAGACAAGAGAATCAGAAACATGATTCACATAAGAAGCAAACTAACAAAAGGTTATCCAATATTTGTTTACAGCAACACCTCCACGACCACCACCACCAATTCCCAATACAAGAGCAAAGGCCAGCCTAGCTAACAATCATATATACACAAATGGTGGGTGTCAGAATGTTGGCATACATAAAGATAGACAGAAATATTGCAAAAAGGATGCAAGCAAGGAACGAAAAAATGTTTCATTAATAAAGTATAAATGTATTGTTATTAAAAAGTATTTAGGATAATTCCGAGGAGCTAAAGAAGTTCATGCCTGTTCAATTGCTTATTATCTACAGGATATCAGTCCCAAGCTTCAATCTGTGCTGCACAATCACATACAAGGAATTAACCCAATGTCTCATCATCTTTCTTTACAGTGAGAAGGCACTTTGACAGTACATGAAATGCAATATGTTGATTTTACCTGCATTTCACATTATATATTATATGGAAGCAGAAGTTGAATTTTATATGTGCCAACATCTACTTCTTCCACCATAAAACTAATTCAAGCATCTAAAACCACATTTCTCATGCATTATCCAATGCTTCCCCAGGTTCTGTCCAGTTAAACAAGTAGTTCGCTTGTGGTGCATAAGCAATAGGACACCAAGGATGACTACTAAAAAGGATGGCTATTCTCTCTCCCGCAGAGTAATTATTGGTGCATCCCTCTCTGTGATTATTACGGGGAAATTACATGTACACCTGATGCACTCATAGTACTCCTCCTCCATCAGATTGCTGATGATTTAGAAGTCATTTTCCATCTTTACAAGGTGCTCAAGGGCCTTGTTGTTATACTGATGGAATGAAATAAGCTGAAAACTATAAATCATTTGAAAGTTGGGCCAAAACAAAACACTAAAGCATGTCCTGCAATCAATCAAGAGCCTTCTGAACTTCATTTACATAGTGGTAGTATGATCAATTCTACAAGTGTCGATGGTACAATGGGCCTCAGATTGTTTTCACCTAAAAAGATCATTATCTAACTCTTGATATGCTTCACCATCAAGTGAGCAATCTGTCATAATCTAAACATAACTAAGTGTAAGTGAGCAATGCATGCAAATCTCATGTAACTAAATCCACACTTTCAATGCATGAAACCTCAAGCTGAATGCTTTGCATAGTCCCGTTGACTGTTACTAAGGGGTAAGACATTTGAATGGTTCTGCAAACCAACCCCTCAACCCCCCCAATGGAGTGCCATGGCATACTGCACTATACTACCATTGATCTGCTCCTTTTTTTGGGTAATAAGGTTAGGAGAACACTAGGTAAAGAAATTTTTTACCAGCAAAGTGAAATTCTCAGCATCATATTATCACAATCAATTTTCCTTGAGCCGAGGGTCTATTGGAAACAACTACCTTCCAGGTTAGGGGTAAGGTCTGCATACATACTACCCTCCCCAGACCCCACTTATGGGTTTAGAGTGGGTAGGTTGTTGTCATATAATCACAATCATAAGTAAGAACATAGTACCTGAGATAGAGTAAAGTATAACAGAAATATAAGGAAAACTAAAACTGCGCAGACAGTGTCAGAAGATACAGTAATGTTTAAAGAAATATAAGAAACAAGAGAGTAGATGTTCACAGAAAGACTCAGTTGCCAACAATCCAAGTGACAATGCCTTAAGGAAAGTTAACAACATATTTGTTGTTAGTAATAGAATGAAAAATATTTATAAAATAACTGGTTGTGTGTTTACCACTGCACTATGTAGGAGTCCTTCACCATATCTACCAACTCCATCTTTCAGCAGATACCATTATATGAACTCTTTACTCTCGACCACTATGATAGAATATGCATGAGTTCCAACTTTAATGAGTAAAAACAATATCATTCCTCCTAGGTGGTCTGCCAGGAATACTTCCCGGCTTGAGCTTTGAAGCGTCGTGCCTAGCAAGTTCAGGGGGAACATGACTGTTGCTTTGGATGAGCATTTGCGTAAGATCATAAAAGACTTCAGTATCCTGCAAGGTCAAAAATGTTGTGGCTACACCTGTCTTTCCTGCACGACCTGTACGTCCAATACGATGGGTGTATGCTTCAAGTTTGTTTGGCATATCATAGTTAATCACATGGGCCACATCAGGTATATCAATTCCACGACCAGCAACATCACTAGCAACTAACACATTATACTTCTTTGTCCTAAATCCTTCAAGGCTGATTTCCCTCTGCTCCTGTGATTTCCCACCATGCAGTGTGGTTACCCTATAGCCGGATTTATCCAGATTCTTGGCAACTGTGTCAACCCGCTTTCTAGAGTTGATGAACACAATAGCAGTCTTATCTCCAAGCTCATCCAGAAACCTCTGCAGCTTAAACATTTTCTCAGATTCCTCTACCATGAAGATATGCTGAGTAATGCGGTCAGTAGCCTTTCCAGCAGTGCCAATAGTCACGACAGCAGGATTTCTTAAGTAATTTCTAGCCAGCCGCTCTACAGCAGGTGGCATGGTAGCACTGAACATATAAGTGGTACGGTAAATCTTCTTCTCATCAAGCTCTTCATCCTCATTCTTTGGTTTCATATTACTTGAAGGCATTGCATCCAGTACACCAACAACTTGAGGTCCAAAACCCATATCAATCATCCGGTCAGCCTCATCAAGAACAACATAGTTACACTGGTTCATAACACAATAACGTCTCTCCAAGCAATCGAGAAGTCGCCCAGGTGTTGCAATCACAACTTCACAGCCTTGCCTAATCCTAAAACCTTGCTCTTCTATGGACTGCCCACCAACAATAGAAACAACTTTGATACCCAAATAGTGTGCAAACTTGACGGTCTCATCCTCAATTTGTTGAGCTAGTTCTCGTGTGGGCACCATTACAACCGCATATGGCCCCTCTGCCTCATTCTCTTCACTCAATGGAGGAAGCCTAGTGATATAATTCAGCATAGGGAGAACAAAAGCAGCAGTTTTACCTGAACCAGTCTCTGCTACACCAATCACATCACGTTGTTGAAGTCCAAGTGGAATGGAAGCCATTTGAATAGGAGAAGGCTTCTTGTAGCCAGCCCTCTCAACGGCCTTAAGCAACTCTGTAGTTAACTTGCTCTCGGCCCAATTCCTCATGGGACGGGGTATCCTCGACCCCTTATAGGATATGTTGTAATCCTCCCTAAATATCCTCCAATCTCTCTCTGTCATTTCCTCCAGCTTCTTATCTGTCCAGTGTTGATCAACCCTCATGTCAAAAGTGTCATACAAATCAGCATTTTGTTCCTTCTTCTTCAAGGCAGCTGCTTCTACTGCAGTCGCCTCAACACCTCCCTTCTTCCAAATCTCCTCCTGCATCTCCCTCTCATTCTTGATGGCAAGCTTCTTCTGCTCCCTTCTGTCGATTCCACCGAAGAATCCGCGACCAAAGTGTGGACGGGCTTCGTGAGGGTTTTGATAAAGAGGGTTGACGTCACGAGAAGTGTCTTCAGAGTTCTGCCAGTCGAAGGATGATCGGAGTTTTGCACTGGGTGTAATCACCCGTTTCTTGGGTTTCTTAGATCCCAAATATTGCTCATGAATAGCTTCGAGTTCCTTCTCTGCCGGATTCTCCAATCTAACTCGATTCGGTTCCTTCTCTCTATCTCTGTCACTGTTCCTGTCTCTATCTCTTTTTCGGTTCTTGCCGCAATAGTGGTTATCGGAGGAAGGGCAGTTGTACTTAGCCTGAAGATGTTCGTGGCAGCGTTTCTGATCGGCGATCTCGTCCTGAAGGGCTAACTGCTCTCTCTGTGCTTTGGTGAGGTAAACCGGCTTCTTGGACGGATCCGGTTTGATTCCGACGGGCCGGTTCATGCTTCTCTCAGATATGGTCATCGTATAGAAGCCGGGGTGAAAGGGGATCGGGTTGAGAAGAAGCGAAGTTGGGAACTATTTATAGGGCACAACCGACCTAAAGAGAATTTGAAATTTGGCGCTGATTGGGCGCGAGGATCAAAAACCTAACCAAAATAGGCGATAACAACTCAATTTAGTAGTTCAATTGTGGGCTCTTGAATCGGAGTCGAATGGAAAACCCAAAAAAAACAAAAAGAGATTACAGAATATATGTAAATAGTACTACTAACCAAAATAGGAAATAACTAACTAATTCAAGTTATAAGGATTTCGGAGAAAAAAAGAAAGAAAGAAAGATTAAAAAGGGAAAACAGACATTTTTTGGAAAGAAATTTCAACTATCTTTAAGAAAATGAAATTTTACTATCTCCGTCCTATATTAGTTGTCGTGTCAACTTATTATGAATAGTCATCTCAAATTATTTGTCCATTTATCAAACTAAAGGCAAAATTAATTATTCAATTCCACCCCTACAATTAATATTTTTTAAAAAGCATAATCAAGCTTATAAGTTAAAAAAAAATTAGTTTTCAAAGGAGTGGATAAATGATAAATTAGTAAAATTACTCATCTTATTTATGATTACTTAAAAAGCTCGTAGAGGGAAAAGTGGACAACTTATAAGGGATAGGAGTAATTACTTAACAAAGCATTAAAAATTATCCTGATAAATTAAGAAACAATTTCATGACAAATTGAAAGAATTAATAAAATTTTGACTAGATCACTTGTTCTTGCTTGGCCACTAAGTTGCCGTTTTCTGAGTAACAAGTTACCTAACTATTTTATTTCTTTTTGACAACTTAGGTGTTCGGATTAACTTAGTGTGCGCCATTACTAATTTTACGGGATACACGTGTGACTCTGTCCTAAAACGAATAGAAAGATATCACCTACTAGTATTGTTGGCTTCTAAGCAGAAAGAAAAACCCCCTTTAATGATAGCAAGATTGAAGTGTGCATGCATCTTTTGAAGTTTCTGTTCTCTCTGTTTAGCTTCAGCACATTTGCACTTTAAGGCTTAAAAAGAGAACAACAACAATACACCCAGAACTACAGCAAAAATGGAAGTTCAAGCCTTCACTGCCACAACTAGAAAAGCTACTATTCATGTATGTTCAACAGTGTAATTTTATTTACCAATACATGCATACAATAATACATATTTTGAACAAAATTCCAATCGACATTCAAAACTTTTGGTAAGAGACTAGGACAAAGAAAATGCTGCAGACCCATCAAACTTTAATTAAATTTGAAGAACAAACTAAGTGCTATGCTATAGAAAGTTAGAAACTATCTCAAAACTCATTACAGAAACTGTTAATTACATTTAAGAGGTTACATGAAATGTGAAGATCTCAATAGTCAGGGATTGAAGTAAAATCAATAACCTTGAGCACCTCTCCAAGAATTGTATGTAATTCACGTCTCATAAAAACCTGCAAGTCATTATAAATTGTCAGAGATGATTGCCGGAATCAACTAAGGGAAATGCGAAGAAAGAACATAAATAAAGAACTAATATGCAACAAGAAGTGCAAGGATCCTATTAAAATTTCTAGTTCTTTAAAACATCATATGACAAAGTACTCCAAGCATAACCTTGAGTGATTTTGGGTCACTATGACCTCTCAACATTCCTGAAGTTCTCATTCTATTAAGGGTAAAAGGGGTTGACTACCTCACTGGAGGATATATCACTTAACACCTAGGTTTTAATATTGTTGTAGGTCCTAAAACTGTTTCAAAGGAGAGTTCATCCTCAATGATTAAAGATGAGAACAATCAACTAAAGGATGAAATTAGAATATTTCCTGAAAGATTTGCAACTCTGGACCCTGGAGCAGGTGGTGCAGTCGATAAAAAGTTTCCTCTGGCTTCCATGCCTTAAAAGTATCTCCAACTGGTACAAGTTATGATGCTTTACCAGCGATAGAGGGTACTGGATTAAAACAGACACTGATTGCAAGTAAAACCGCATAGAATTGCAGTCATTCTCTTCTGTTGTTACGTAAACATACTTATGCGCCATCATCTCAGTCCTTTATCTCAATTTGTAATTCAGACTTGGTGATGGAGCTCAAGACGGAAAAATGTTCAAGAAAGAGTGATAATTTGATCCTTTGCGCGTCTACTGTAAGAGCTTTAAGGGTAATATATACAACTAATAAGTAGGAGTATGTAGTATGGAGGTGTGAGCAAAAGTTAACACAGAAGAACAAACGAGTACCTCCTTCCTTCCATGTGTAACGCCAATGTAGGAGAAATGGGCTATAATCATTAAGGTTGATCAGTTGTTGTAATGCTAATAATTGTTGAATTAGTATTCTTGTGAAAAAATGGACATTAGGAAAACCCCAAAAGCTAGCTCACGGTAAGCATTGTCCGAGATCGTATAAGGAGACAGCAACTCATTTCCTCCATCAATGTGGACACTGAAATTAGTCATGCTTGTCAATTTTCTGTTGAAATGCCTCTCAAAGTGAGAGTCTTTCCATTATATAGAGAAAATAAAGATTACACATCCCTAAAGATCCGCCATTCCTATCCCTAAAGATCAACTATTCTATCTCTACAAATCTGCTATTCAATCCCTCTAAATCTGCCTTGCTATCCCTCCAAATCAGCTATTCTATCACAATATTTATTCCTTTGATTCTACAACAAATGTATATGATCATGCTAATTTATATCACTATATAATTACATTAATATATACAATCATTTAGTTGTCCATCATGCTAACATCCCCCCCTCAAATTGATGCTGGTGGATCAAGAAGCATCAATTTGCCTACTAGAAACTGATGGTGTTACCGTGCCATGGATTTTGTAAACACATCAGCTATTTGAAGATCGTTGGACACATGTGGAAGAGTAAGGACTCATTTATCTACAACTTCTCTTAAATAATGACAATCCACTTCGATGTGTTTGGTCCTCTCATGAAAAACTGGATTAGTAGCAATCTGAATAGCACTTGTATTGTCAGCGTGGAGAGGAGTAGGATGAGATTGAGGAAATCCAATCTCAGCAAGTAATCCATGAAGCCATACAACCTCAGAGCCAGTGTTTTGAACGGCGAGAGGCGACAAAAGGCGACAAGGGCCTGCCTCGCCACGCGGCAAGGCGCTCGCCTTTTTGAATCGAAGCGCCAATTAATACCAAATAAGTAGATATATATATATATATATAATAAAATATTACTAAAAATATTTATGAAATATATATAATAATGAATTGCATATTTTGATATAATTACATACAAAATAAGAGGAGTATAATTGTTAAAGAAGAGAGAAAATATAATAAATATTAAAAGTATAATTTATTTTATAAATAAAAAAGGACACACTTATCTAGAGAAACCCTTTTGTCTCTAGTTTTCTTTTTCAAAAAAAGTTGAAAAAACTCTGCTTTTTGAAAAAAGATAAAAAAGTTGTACTTCCTTTACTTTTCAAGAAAAAACTCCTCCTCTTCTTCTTCTCTGTACTTTTTCAAGCTGAGCAGCAGCAGCAGACGCGAACTCGTAGCAGCAGCAGTCGCGAACTCGCAGCAGCAGCAGTCGCGACAGTCGACTTCAAGTTTCCAATCGCAGCAGCAGCAGTCGCGAACTCTAATTCCAGTCGAGGGATTCATTTCAAGTCTCCGATCGCGAAATGAGGAGCAGCAGTCGCGACATAAGTTTG